GGAATGCAATAACATCGTTGAACTTGGATGACCTGCAATCGCACGCTGATATTTGAAGAAGATTTACGAGGACGAGCAGAAAAGAGAGAAAATGATGTTCAACTCTGACACAATCAAAGTATATAAGCTTCAAACATTCAGATAGACGACATCGGGCGTAGTGGAGCCATTTTTAAGGGTTACGATGTCTGTTGCCAAACCACTGGTGAGCTACATGAACCCGGAAACAGGTGGCTACAATAGTACCTAGACTTTTCGCAACCATCTTCATATTATTCTGCCACGTCAGCGAAACGTCGGTGTTGAACACCGACGCTGTCATGCTGTCGATGATGATGATGCCACGCCAAAAGGCGAAGACCTAGGTTGACACCGATACATGCCTGAAGGCGCGTGGTGGTTCGTCAATATAACTCCTACCGGGCAGAAATCCCACATGATGCTTTCAGGTTAGGGTTCCGTAGATCGTTCTACGATGGCGAATAACAAGTGACATTAAGTCTCGTTACAACAGCAAGCATCCTGGTAGGTTAACCTCATTCCATATAAGGTCTTTATTTGGAGGATGAGTGAGTGACCATAGGGTCTTTCTACATTGTGATTTTGCAAGAAACAGTGGAATGAATCAGGATAAAATCTCAGTAGTTACCAAGGAAGCCTTCTAAGCCTCGGCGGGGTGGCGGAAAATCAACCAATCAATCAATTTATCAGCTATAAACTGTGTGTGGTCCCAACTGCTACAATTTCGATCACCGGAAAACGGGAAAGGGGGATATACAACCAAGCTTTAAAGGCCTTCCGAAATTGGGTAGATACGCATTGGAGGCGATAGCTTTGATGCATGGGCAGCACTGATTGCGCGATCGGGCAGTTTTCGCCAATGTCACTAACCACTGGTGATTTAAGTCCCAGAGTTACCATCCGGGGAGGCGGCAGTTTTCCATCCGATTGAGTTTACTGGTTAATGTTTTCGTACTCCGTTGCCAGGTCCTATACTGTCCACCTCTCGGTCGCTTTCACTCAGTACAAGGCTGGGAGAAAAAAGTTCTGTGAGGCAGACGGTCTACTGGCATGCGTAGTACATGTCCTAACCTGCGCAACCTATGAAGCGTGAGTAATTCATCTATCGCAGAAGAATTCCTTCTTCCTGAGACCATCTGGCGTACCTCAGCATTACTAATCCGATGTTCCCATCAGACTTGACCAATGCTGCGGACACCTATGATCAAACACTGACATCTTCCATATGTCCTCTGCGCGTACAGGCCACGTCTCGGGTCCATAAAGCAGTATGGATCGCAGCGCCGCAGTGTAAACTCTTCCCTTGACAAACAAACTCACGTCACTTCGGCGCCGTAAGTATCGGAGATTGGCAAAAACTGCGGAGGCCTTTCCGATTCGAGAAATAACCTCATCTCCAGCCAGTCCACCGGAACCTATACAGCTGCCCAGGTAAACGAATTTATCTCCCACGTCGATTGGCTCATCTGCAAGCGTGAGGTAGGGGTTTGATTCCATCCAATCTTGTAGCAGCACTTAACACTTTGCAGGTGTGAGGCGCATGCCGAACAATGTGGCAGAGTTATTTGGGTTATTTTAAATTGTTTGTACTTGGGAAGGAACTGAACCAAGGAGAGCAATATCGTCTGCATACTCAATGTCCGTGAGGAAACGTCCCGGGAGCATTTCGACTCCCGAGGTTTTAGAGGCAGACAGCCAAATTTCAAGCAGCACATCAATAACAAAGTTTAAGAGGAAAGGGGAAAGAGGACAAACTTGCCTTACACCACTGGACGTGGTGAAATTAGGCGAGAGCTTCCCATAGTAGTTCGCATATAGTGACCTCGTAAGAAGGAGAAATTCGGAAGGGACACCTTTGATCGCCAGACACTGCCAAAGTTGTTGACGACCGACAGAATCAAAACCAGTCTTTAAATCCGGAAAAACGACCAACGTGGGAGGTCTGAAGGAGTGGCGCTGTTCATGAAGTTGTCTCAAAGTAAAGATATAGTCGACGCATCCTCGACCAGGGTGAAACCCAGCTTGGTTCTCATGAATCTGTCTCTCCCGATAATCCATCAACCAGCACAAAATAATGTCAGAGAGCAATTTAGATGCGACCCATACTAGGTTGATACCACGATGGTTTTCACATGACGTTCTTGCTCCCTTTTTGAAAACTGGGATGACGGTCGAGGTGCTCCATTTGGCTGGTATTCTTTTTTTCGTTCCAAATCTTCCTTAATATGATTGTCAAATTGTTCACCAGGATCTCCCAGTCTTGTTCGAAACGTGCGAAATGTAGACCATCCGGGCCAGGCGCCTGGTTGTCCTCAGGATTGAAATCTCATGCTGGATTTTGGCTGCTGGGTTGGTGCCAATGTTCCATTCGGGCCCGCTTGGTTCTTCCAGTGGTTGTGTTGAAGGAGACCAGGTGAACTGATCTTTGATGTGGTCAGCCCACCGCTCAAGGCAGCGATTGAAGGAGTGAATTGCTGTTCCGTCTTTTTTGCATATTGTCTCACTGAGGTCTGTCTTCTTTTAACCCATTGATCTGATCAGGTGAAACAGGGCGCGGCTGTTGCCTGAAGCGAAAGCCTTCTCCATCTCCTGGGCATTCGAAATCCACCAGCATTCTCTGTCACTCTTTAAGCTTCTGAATATTCTGGCTATCCAGTGTTTGAGGGACCTGCGTGCGCCGTCATGGTCGCTAGTTGCTGATACGGCCTTTCTGGCAGCAATACGATCTGCTGATCTCGAAAAGATTCACTGTTCATTGAGTCGAGTCAGATGGGCTGGACAAACAGTTCTGAAAGATGACAGCACTGTTACTTTAACTCGCCTCCATTCATCCTCCAAGCAGTCGTTGTCGTCCACACGACTGTGCGTTTCTCGTAGCTTTCTAGCCAGATCAGCACGATACTCTTTAGCTAATGAACCCTATCAGAGTTGATGAACGGAGCGGCTCTTTTCCGCCACGCGTAGTGCTGGCGGAAAGCGAGGTACTAAGCGGGCCCGCACGATGGCGTGAGCAGAGTCAAGTTGCGTACCCCAGAAGGAACGACAATCCTTAAATGAGGCTCTTTATCGGTAACTTGTAGCCATATGGTTCAACTGAGTCCACAAGTGTCCTGTGGTAGGTGGACTTCAAGTAACTCAGTGTGTGTATGTGTTGGAAGTTCGTACTGGCCGGGAACAGACGATGATCTGCACACAACTGAAGAAGCCGCTCTCCGTTATTCATACGCTAAGCATCAATTCCAAATCGACCACCTAACTGTGTTTATTCCGGACTTAGTCGTCCAACTAGGGCATTCATATCACCCGCCGGGATTAATTTATCCGTTCCTCTTGCCAACCGAAGCAGTCGTGACAGATCTTGATAAAAATCGTTGCCCCAACTACTATCTGTTGGGGCGTAGGCTGACAAACAAACACCGTTTACCACATCGATCTGCGTTAATCGTAATTGAGCCAGACAACCGCACAGCACAAAGGCGACTGTTCACTGGGATCCAGTCGAGTAAGGCGCTTTCAGCCTTGGAGCTGAGTACACACCACAGACACCACGAGCCATTGCGCCAGGATCACCGGATAGCCGAAGAGTGAAATGTAGAACATCTGGGCTCGTCCTAAGCAGCTTGAGGGGAACGACCGAAGTGAGGTTTTGTATGCGTGTTTCGAAGACACAACATGCGTCAATGGAGAGGGAAAGTAAAGTTTCAGCAAGGGATGCCTGTTGCCCAATTTGACATAGAGTACGGCATTCAAGGCCGCAACGCGGATGAGATCATTTGATGTTAATAGGTGATAATTTTGGTTTATTTTTTCTAGGCGATGGTTGAGACGCGGAACAGTGGTTAGGGGGTTGGCAAATGGGTTGACTGCACTGCATTGTACGATGGGTTGGGAGTGAATGAGGGGAAAGGCCGGTGAGCGAAGGGCTGCAATGGCAAATGGTACTTCCCGATTGCCCGAGCCGAAGAAGGGGGTTTAGTTGAGGTACCCCACCTTGTGCCTTTGACTCAAAAGTCTGACCCTCAAGGCAATGGGACGATGTAGGGTTTTGTTCGGGGCCCTGCCCTTAGCCCCTGACTCGAAAGTCTGTACCGAGACAGCGGTTGTTAGGGCTTTCTTTGGGGAACCTTCCCAGAGCCAATGACTCAATAGTCTGACCTACTTGGCTGTAGGGAGCCGGCCTGGCCCAAGGGCGCAGGGAGTAGGACATTAATGTCTCACTCCTGATGCGGCTGCGCACAGCAGGTGCCTTTTGAGCAGCACCGGGCTCTTTGGTTTTAAAAATATTTCGACCATATTGGATAATGCGCCGGCGGTCACGGCCAACCGTTGGGCGATCGGAGCGTGCGGTTTTTGGGGTCGACCTTTTCTAACCCGTCCTTCCTTGGGGGAAGGTAGCATCGCTGCTTCCATAAATATGGACATGCTGGTCACCTGGGTGGAATACCTTACTGCCTTCACACTCCTATCGCACAGGACAGTACGACTTCACCTCCACACCACCTCGTAATACGATTACTCGCACTACATGGACTCGCTGTTCTTCGTCGGGCTGCTCCCTGTTGGCCTTCCTAGAATGGGTGAACCTTTAGAAACTGAGTTCCAGTTTAGAAACTGAGTTTAGAAACTGGTTTCGGCATAGCCAGCGGGATCATTGCAGCGCAGAAGCCCGACCACCACGACAAGGTAACGAAATGTGTGATAACTACATGGAAAAGCTTAAGATAAGAGGAAATTGAGATTTTGAATTCCTTGTCAGAATATCAACTAGCAAACACCGCAATGAATTGCGGATATAAGGCAAGACCAATGTTTTGGTGGGTTAGTGTGACATGGAGACAGTTGCACATCTACAGCTTAACATGTTAACCCGTTTAGTTAGGGTCTGGCTGGAGCTTGAGACCGAAGTTGAATAAAAGTGTACAAATGTCGTGAAATTTAGGAAGCACGAGAAACATTGTTTGTCCCCTGAAAATACTCACTTGTTTACGCAACTTCTTTAATCGAAGGTGACCTCCGTTTGCCTGAAGAATATCAACGACCCAGTCGGATAAGGTTTTGCGAATCGACCCATTGAAAAGTGTCTCAACATTCGTTCCGGAGGAAGTGATATGATTCGGAATCTCCAGGGTCAGATCAACTCCCTGCAACATGCTACCTTCATTGGGTGTTTTGGCGAGAAGTCGAACCATGCCATCAGCCTCTGAATATGAAATAGTTTTTCTGGATGAAATGGCGTCAAGCAGCTGTTGTTCGAACTCCTGTGATGATATCCGGCAACAGCTGGTGGAAACGGATGCTTTGTACAATGAATACAGCTGACCTGTAAGTCACTCATCAGAACAGAAATAACGCATATCATCTCCGAATATATATATATATACCAGCTAAACTGAAATTACTTGTTTATTCTGACCGGTAGGGCTGGAAAGGATACGCACGTTTCCATAGCCCATTGACAGTTCACGTTTTTGTGTAGGACCTAGGTTGTAGTTTCGTTACCAAACCGCTGGCTCACGACCGGGTGAGATAATTTTCTGGAAAACGATAGTATGAACGGACTGCACACAAGACATCATCGTTTACACTTTGTGTTGAACCGTTAGCAGCTAATAATATAATAATAGTTCAGCTGTAACACCATTTCAGTTTCTGGCTACCACACCACCACCTGTCGAAGCCTAGACGAAAACAGTCGAGTTGTCGAGAGTGGGTTCAAATCATGAAATAACGGCGACCCAGGATTGTCGTTTCTTGCTACCCACAAAAGATTTTTGAAGGGATATGGAGGCTCACAGCCAGAAACCCTCAGCAAGTTTGGCGAACACTGAACTAGCTAAAAGCATTAAAAAGCCAATGAAAAATGAAAAGGCAATACAATACAGAAAGATAATTAGCGTACGGATAATGCAAAAACAACCGTGGAGAACCATAGATGTTTGGACGGACAGGCGCCAACAGTAGCCTTTAAAACCGTCGGAAAGCGGAAATTTGGAGGGAATTCAGAAGAAAAGTAATGACGTGGAAAGTGAGGGATAAAATAGTTCTTCCAGGCAACCGGGTCCTGGGAATTCACATGGGTGACTACAGGAGCATAGAATTCACGGTCCATTGAATGATTATGGGAGTGGGTGCAAGAGTCAAGTCCATGGGAGCATTTACCATGGTAGTGGCAATAAAGTAGCGAGAGGAGGATACGTCCTGACGCCGAGGCATGGCTCGCGAATCACCCGGCAACGAAGGATTCAATCATGCAAAGAATTTCATTTGACATTACTTAGGAATGAAATGTGTGGAAAGCTTTCAACTCAATTTCAACAACAGTATTCTATGGTAGGGTGCGACTGGGGCTTGGATAAGAGAATCTATATGTAGAAGAAACATTCTAGGGAGTGAAAGAGGAGGGTTTTTCGAGGCGTCAAGTGACAGTCAGTTGTACATGCGGAGTCCAACTGAGATGGTTCGACAAGGAAAGACTAAGGTGCGGGCAAGTAGACGATTAGAAAATCGGGTTTTGAACGCACAAGAAAGACAGCAATACTTCACTGAAATGGGCGTATTCATTTTCGTCTGATGCGATGAAATGGACTCCCAACCTGAAATGCAAGAACTATAGGTCGGGCAGTTGCACTTTTTTGGACGACATTGTGAGTAATTTAGCGCCAACGACACAGCTCTTGTATGCGCATAAGCTGCAGGACAGTGAGGATCGCATACAGGATAGCATCACAATCGTATCCACAAGGTTCCGGAAATCCCACCCAATAAAACCATCACAGCAGGTTCCCGTTCTCGGCCCTACTGGCTTGGAATATGTGTTTGACCGACTCCACAAATAGGCCGGCAGCAAGGTTACAGAGCTGACATCCAGCTCTGCAGTTCCGTCCTAACAGAAACAACGCAATAATAAGGCGGTGAACGGGACTTCTTTAAGGGAAGGAATTATAACTATCATCTTGTTATTTATCCACAGTTTAGACTGCTGTGACCACACCGAATCTTCAGAACCCACCATTTCTATCGGTTTTCCCAATCCGCCAGTCGCATGATACAACGAGCGTGCTCCCGTCTAAGCATGCACCACTGCATGAGAAACTACGAATTCCGCTCTCTCCTCGAATTGGGTTTGTGGAAGCCGAGTACATATCATCAGCTCAATCTTCCTGAGCCCTGGACATGAGGACACAACGGTACGGCTGTCAAGCGATTCGAGATGCGCGCTGCACTGAACTCTCTTAAGTGGGAGAGACAGTCCCGTCGAGTTTCTGCGAGTAGAACGTCGGTTTGGGCGCCAATGGGCAGTCGTGAACCGTGAAATCTATCTAAGCTTGTCAACTAAACGATCAGTAGCTATCATTGGCCTTAATGTGCAGTTTGAACAAAAATACATGCTGCCAGGTCTCCCTGTGGTCACGCCAGACAGTATCTTTTGAAACTGTAAGCGCTTGCAAGTAGCATGACTCAACCCACGCTGTCGACTGGGGGAATTATCGGTCTGACCGCAACATAACTTAAACTTACCAGTTTAATTTTACTTAGAAAACTCCAGGTGTCTTTTTCTGATTCCGAAAAATAATTAACGGTTAACTATTGAAATCGCTAACCAAACAGCGACCAAAACTTAAGTGATTATTGAGTCAAACCTCATTAGGGTTATTATAATGTAATTTGGTAGAGTGTGACGAATCTGTCTTCAGTCTCTGTGCACGCTTCTGTAACACCATCGGATCCAGAATGTGGCCAAGAAATGAAACCTCAGATGACCGACTGCAGTCGTCCTCGTTCGATCTCACGGCAAGGACTTGCGCTGTTGGAGGGTCAGTGCTTCTATCTGTTCTTGCCAAACAAGCCCCGGTGGCGGCTGACAGCATGTGTATTAGAATAATGAATTGGCGCCTGAAAGTGTCGAACTAGGGTACAACAACAGCACTTATTTTAACCTGATAGTACGAATAAACGGTGAAGTACAACCAAAGGTTATTCGTAGTCACACAAACATAAATCTTGCATGCATGTTTTCCTGTGAGAGTATAACTGAACATTGACTGGTCAGGGAGACGAAGGAACAATTTTCATGAGTACCTTGGTTGACTATACAAGACTACGATAGCTGACCCATAGGAGCGACATTTTCTTTGATATGTAAAGAATTCGTTCCTACAGGATCTAAGTCGATAACTAGTGCTCTGATTTAGAATGGAGAAGGTAGTAGTGGAAATTTCGGCCTGTAAGTGCAGCTAACCTACTCCAGAAAGCCGAGAAGCACTGTGCAGTTGTTTCATCTTATAGGGAATCATCATCCTCATCTCACTTGAAAGATCGTCAAATATCCTCTCTACCAAAAACCTATAGGTAGCTCAGAGAGAATGTAAAATTCACCTGATGAGTGAAACCTCCATTCGTGAAGTCATCACTCAAGGAGCAAGTCAACATTTGTGACCGGGTGATGTGAATTCCGCAAGTGCAGAATAAAGGGCGATAAATCCTTTCTAAATGCAAACTAATCATATTGCTGATCATCCACTCCGGGCCGAACAGTTAAGTGTCTGAACTACTGGCCGGAAGGTCACGAGTATGAAGCTCCCTGGAGTTTCGTAAGATGCGCACTGCTGACGATTTTAAATGAGGATGAAACAGATGTGCAGCAAACACTGCCCTCACTTACAAGACGAAATATCCGTTGAAAATCCCAAACTCTCTTTACGCTCCCATCAATGAGATAGTTTGTTCTCAGGTTGCTTCGATCGGGTGGTCAATGAAATATCGATCTCCTGGTTCCGAACAATTAATAATCCGATTCCTTTGCGACTGCATTTAACTTTATGAAGACCCATTTTTATTGCGCACAAGTAACGAAAAATTTGGCATGAATCGCCATCCCGATAGCTATTCCTAAGTGTGAAACTTGTCGGTAGAGTTCTCAAAAAACCAAGCTCTACATAACCAATGACACTGACCGACATCTACCATCTGAAAGCCTCAACTGTGGGGAAGAAAGAAATCTGACATTTTTAGCAGAAATCGTCACGAGCAAAAGCTTCAGTGAAATCCTCCGTGAAATTTTGTACATAAGCAACGTCTTGAAAACCCCATCATATTCGCCGACTGGGTAACGACAAAATATTCTGAAGCCAATTGGAGGGAAAATAAACGAGTGCGCGACGTTCAAGTCAACAAACAAATGAACGAAAAGTAAATCATTTTCCAGAAAAGTGTCACCGTCAAAAATAAATACCCATTTAGAGATGGGCGTAATGCCCGACCTAACCTATTAGTAATCAGGAATAACGTGGTCTGCAAAACACCGAAATGTAAACATTGGAATATCAGATGAGACGGAACAGCCTTTCGGTCAATACCTTTGTTTTTAACTCTACCAAGGAGAGTGCTCCATCGACGTCCTTCAAAAGTCGCCGGATACATGTGGTAAAAGAAAACGGTGTTGCTAAAACAGAGAACGTGATTTAAAAAATTCGTGAACCATGCCTGTTCTCAGTGCAGGGCTGTCTGTCTCTTCACAGTTCAGATTCCGACGTTTTGTCGGGGGCTCAGAATCAACACCGGACTTGCATTCAGATGCCGCCGCTGTAATTAAAAATATAGAGACATACCAAGAACTTACTGTCTAAAATCTCCCAGATTTGTTCCACTTGATCGGGACGCAATCTGCGATACTTTGATTTCATGAAATTCTGCACTATTAGCGCGAATTTGGTGACAAACGTACCAGGAATTTCTGTTTCTTCCTCGGCAGGTTTTCAGAAGACTGTAACTCTTGCATCACTTGACAGAGCAAAGGATCTTGCACAGCACTTTTGCTAATCACATTTTGAACGACTGAAGTCCATTGTTGTTGCTTGTTGGATCCTGCTTTGCTCTGCGAAACACGAACCTTATCATACTTTTCTTGCTCTGTTAGGCAACTTGTATGTGATTTGAAAGAAATTTTACTGTGCGAAAAATTGCAACCGTCGTATGTTGACTAAGATAAGAACCCACTCAAAGTCCTTGTGACAGTCCATACAAGAAACGGTCATACAACCTCGACAACAGTAGAAGTGTTTTTCCACAACGCTTTTCCGAAGAGAGGCATTGCAGTATGAGCATAAGAATACCACCATGTCGATGGACCTAAGGAGCGAAAATCGTTTTAGCGGACCAGGAACAAGGAGGCTGAAAATGCGAACAGTTTAATTCAGTCAATCAAGTAAAAGTTCGCAAAAAGTGAAGGCAGGCGGGCATCTGGGTGATCAAGAATAACACAAACCCAAGCCCAGGTATTTTCGGAATGAATTCGACTTAAAGGTACAGATTTATTCCGTGTGCGCCGCAACACAAAAACGACTCAACATTTTTTGTTCTGCACCACATCCGCAACGTTTTTTTCTCACTGAGAATTGCATCTGTGGTTCTAAATGATTCGGGACGTTACAAATTCCCTCAGCCTGACGTGGTACGCAAAGAACCTTCCAAAAGGCATCCAAATTCTATAAAGAACTCCAAGAACACAGCCCACTCTGTTGGTTTTGTGAGGAATGGCACTATTTACATCATCGCCCCTGCCGGAACCACAGGTGTAGCAAATATAGTAAAAGGGTAACAAAGAATACTGCAGAGACAACTTCAGGAGCTCGCGCAAACACTGACTCAATAAAAGGACGCAGGCAGAGGCCATGACCGCTACATTCAGGATGAAATTACCCTGTCGAGGAAAATTTGTCACAGTGCACATTAATGGCACACTGGTTACACTCTAACTTGATGCAGATTCTGACGACACTCTGATTTCAAAACAAGTCTTGGACTAAATTTAAACGCCACCATTGAGACACACAAAGTGCACCGGTCGTAATGCATCTGGTAGGAAACTCACACTGACCGGGACTGAAAGATACCTGCTACCTCACAAACTATACAGGCCTTGGCCTCTTGGAAATGGATTGGATTATTGAGCCTCAGCTCTCTGACCAAGCCCTGAATGCCGTTTGTAAAGAAACAACTGCAGACGGTTGCAATACATTCACGAAAACACCACATCCCGACGGTTTTAGGGCCACCACTGCTACAACAAAACCGGAGATTAGGGGGGGCGTATGCGTCATAGCGGCTACTCAGCTGCTGGCGTCAAGCACCAACAACCCTCTCACTTCAGTCCATTTTGGTGAGTCCTGCCAGCAGACTACAACGTTACACCCGCGGTCAGAACTCTTCAGTCTACTGTCCCAGGTTCACGCGGACCGCTTCACTGCTGCCCCGAGAGTCAAGAAAAGAAGGCCGGCAGGGGCCAGATACTGATTAGAGGATATCGGGAGGCCCCTCATGGTAGACGCAAGGCATAATAATACGTCAATTATGAGGCACGTCTCATGGTACACCGGGAAACTTGGGCAAAAGCCTTGATCCTGTGTATCAATCCGTGAATCCGTGAAGTGGAGGGCCTCAGATCCCTGATTGGCATGCTCACATTATCAGCGACGGACTGACATGCGACAGCACCTACAGGACTCGACACAGATGAGCCTAAAGCAGCGCTCGGTTGAAGAAACTCCGCAAGCGGATGACCGGAGTACAGTCGCCCCCAATGGCCAAACATCACGTCAACTGGACGAATGTCACGTGCGGGCTACAGACCAAGCGAAGGCATGCCCTGATTGATCAGAATATCAGCCAATCTGGATCGAGCATCGCTTCCTCGACGCTTCTCACCCCCTTACGGAGATTCTAGCACGACTTTGTAGAACATTCTGCGATGGCTGCATAAACACGGTGATAATCTTCCTTTATCTTGTGGCGTTTTGTACCGTTATTTTACTTCCATTATAACTACCTATTTCATTAATTGCATAATCTTTCGTTGTTTGAATACGAAAAACTACAAAAAAC